TTGAATGACATTGGTGTGTAAATTGTCAGCACTGTTTTATTTGACCACTTGTAAAAACCTTCCGGGACATCTTACACACTCATCAGTCTGACAGCCTTGTCAACACCAGATACTGTAATTACCCCCAAAATATCCCAGTTTTCCAGTATAGACCTGGAGAAAACTTACATTGTGGGCCATCAGCTCATGTGCAAATCGCACGGTACTGTGGGTTATTTCTAAGAAAGCAAATAAGCCAATATAGCTTATTTCTTTCTTTTCATTTCAAGGGAAGGTGATTTAAGAGATATTATTAAAAAAAAAACAACAAGATTATTGGATTTTCCAATTACAGTAAACACAAGGCATCTATCAGGAATTGATTATGCATGGGATATTAATTAAATTTTATCTATATCTATCTATATATATATATATATATATATATATAGAAAATAAGTAGTGTAAAGATAGCACTCCAAGGACTTCAGAAATATGGTCCTGACGAAAGTTCCATTAGTGAACTGAAACGTTGATCCACCTAGGCTGATGCCTGAATAAAGATACGTTTTTTCACCATATTTCTGAAGTCTTTGGAGTGCTATCTTTACACTACTTATTTTATATTTATTGCTGACCAGCACCAGGCTGATTATCTCTTAACAGGAGTGCAAGCATTGGATTATATATATATATATATATATATATATATATATATATATATGGATCTTTATGTGTTGCAATGTTGCAAATGGGTAATAGATGCTATAAGGCATGGCATCGTAGTATTAATTGCCTCTGGTCTTTAATTACAGTATATGTTAAGGAGTTTATGTGAGTATTTCTGTTACACATAGGGTGTTTGATATGTATTATTATTTTTTTGTAGAGTGAAATATTTGTAATACTTGATCTATAAAATAAAACCAAATGTTTGTGTTGGTAGTAAAAGTTCCATTACGTGAATGGTTAACTGTGGGTGTTTTCTCTTACTTGAGGTCCTCCTATTGAGAAACCATCAATCTCTATTTACCAGGAGGTGGGAGGGTCTGGGAGGGAGGGTCTGCTGCTGATTGGCTGGAATGTGTCTGCTGACTGTGAGGTACAGGGTCAAAGTTTACTCAATGATGACGAATAGGGGGCGGATCGAACAGCGCATATGTTCGCCGTCCGTGGCGAACGCGAACAAGCGATGTTCGCTGGGAACTATTCGTCAGCGAACCGTTCGGGACATCACTAATGCCAATATGTGCAAATACACCCGTACGTTCACTCACACATACTCCATACAAAAACATGCTTACATTTCTTCACACAAACACTGCTCAGTGCTAAATATATATATATAAAAAAAATACAAACACTGCTGAGTGCTGAATACATGTAAAAAGTGTGTGGGTGTATTTTTACATTTTTAAGATGGGGAGGGGAGGTACAGGTACGCCCCTGTGACACTATATAAATGGTAATAATAATGTGGGTGATGTTAAAATAGAAAGAAAAGTAAAATGGACACATCATCTGCATTTCTATGATATCCGCTGGCAAGTTTCCAAGAAATGTCACTTGTTTGTAAGAATTAATTATTTAAGTGGGCAAATTGCTCACATTCAACTAATACAGTTATGGTGATTGTAAAGGATCCTTCTATTCGTGCAGCGATGAACCTTGCAGCTTCACCCGAAATCCAGCTGAAACGAAGTGATTATAACTCCCAATCCCCCAAACATGAGTCGAGACTTCATGAAGGGGTAAAACGATCTGATTTACTGTGGGCTACCCGCCCGGTATTTATGCAGGTCTCCCACCTGGTGGACACTCCCCTAGGGGACCAGATGGAAGACTGGGACAAAAGTATCACAGTAGCCAATCACAGTGGCTATAGCATAAGCACTCCCCTTTCCATAAATCACTCCCTCTTTTCCATCCTGGAGATAATTAACTTAAGGTAGCAAAGAGAGCCTTAATTATCTCCAGGAAGAAAGAAACATGGCTTTTCTTATTTCAGCAAAACAGAATAAAAATATATGACTTTTTTTTTACACAACATAAACTTTAAGTTCCACATATCCCCAGATAGCTTGGATCTGAGTGCGTATTCTAGGCGAATAGCGCTCAGATCCCACGAACACAGTTCTCAGAATCGTCGACTGAAGTTTGACTTTCACCAGCCATTCGTGTGTTTGTAGCCGACTACAAGTTCCATACGATAGCTATCTGGGGTTGGTCACTTTCGCATACTTTCAGTGCACGAATGAAGTAGTATCCCCTTCATTCGTGTGTTTTTCCACCGTACGAACGAGGATGGGAGGAGGTAGCAGCGGTGTTCGACAAAATAAGTAGCCGAAATCAGTTCCAGGGAATCCTCGCCATTTACCGCTGAGCGTTCGACAATACAAAATGGCATTTGCCACGTGTTCGGTAAACGAACACGGACCACCAGCTATTCCCCAATTAGTCTGTGGTTAACCGCAACAGTCAGGGTGGTCAATAGGTGCCACACGACCTCAGTGGGAGGTCGGTGGTTCGGTAGTTTATTCGCTTTTATGGCTATTTTCACGAAATCCCGCTATAATCCTCCAAATAACCGAACAGGCTTGTTCGTATGGTCTGTAAATAAGGGATTACGTTACAGTGATATTTAAACCTAAACTGCAAAATTTTGGTTCAAAAGTAAATTTGTAAAATAGATACATTTGCTGCTTGGTGAGCAAAACTAAACTCACATCTCTCGGTTATGATGGAAGAGATAATGTTCTCTATTTTGTTCTGTGTAGAGAAATGAGTTGTATACTATGTAACATTTAGTGGCGCAAATTGCTATAATATACTCAGCATAGCAGGTAACATCACACAGAGCACATCACACTGACATCTCCAGCACGTATGATCACTGTAAATTGCACTCCAAATGTACAAGACATGGAATTATGTAAATTAGTGTAATCTCTATTAAAATTGATGTTAGAACGCTAATGGGCTTATCACCTTTACCATGGATGATAAAAGTGCAGAGATTTTATTTTAATTCTAGTTTATTAAGCAGATGGTTTGCCAACGATTGCAAATTGTTGGCAATAACTCAACCTATTTATTTTTATTCGGATACTCAATAGATGTAAACGATGTAAATGGTGTGGTAAAATTTCCATAACATTTTTGATGAGGTTCCTAAAGTACTACATGTATGAAGACATTATGGGCATTATAGATTATTATTATTGGTATATATACATCATTAACTAATTTTGCAGCGTTTACAATATTATGAAAGGGAGGGGCATTTACAATAAATGAGATAATTACACAGTGACACAGGAACAATAGGTAAATGAGGGCCCTGCTCAAACAAGCTTACAGTCTAGGGGAGGTGGGGTACAAATGCACAACAGGACAGCAAGGGTGAGAGCCACCAAACAAGGTGGAAAAGTAGCATAAATGGATGTGAGAGTGGAGTTACCTGAACACTAGCCCAAATCCCTATGCATATTTAAATAAATGGAAGTTATTAAGTAACTCCAATGGCCATTTTTTCTTTGGATTTTACTGTATGTATTGGGGCTGATGTATGCAATGGCCGTTGCTGCTGCCCAGGAGTAGTGGGAGTTTGAGCACAGGGCTTATTTTTGTGTATTTTTATTCAACTGTGGCATGATGTTTTCTGCTGGGAAAAGTGTGAGGCGAGCATATAGTCAGTTCCAATGCTTTTTGGAACTGATTCATTTCTGTATTCTGATTAAGAAACAAAAGATTTGCCCTTTTCCACCCGCAAGTAAAGTACAAAAGGTAATTATTATTTTTTTCCCAGCCATATCCAGTCAGTTGGATGGCTATAAGCCCAATACTTTCCACACAGATTTTATATGGAAATAAAAACAAACTTAGAAGGCAGATTAAAAAAATCCTGCAGTATGGGAACAGAGAACCATGGTTATCCCTAATCAAATGGAAACAAATACATAAATTAGAATACATACATAATAAGCATATTAAAAACATTTTTTCCTTCCACTTAATAGCTGTTGCTTCCAAAATCCTTTTTTCACAATTAACATTCCATATATTCCCAAACTTAATTACAAATCCCAGAATGGCACATCTTGATTTGGCACACAAACACCGACTTCTAATTCTTTATTTTTACTCTTATCTCATTTTTTTCAGATTCAAAGTTTTTTTTATTTTCATGGGTTCAATAGATCAGGGGGGGTACAGAAAGGAAAAAGGTAGAGGGGTATGTGCAGAATTGCGCAATGATATAGTACAATACAATGCAGTACAGTGTGTTACAATACAGTGCGTTACAGTACAGACGGGCATAGCTAATTCTAGGCGACAGTGGTAATTCAAATTAGGAGCGAAGCCTCAGCGTCATAATGGTAGTATGGTGATATTCTGGGTGTAAGGGGCATTCCCTGTAGGGCTCAGTATTACAGCCGCGGCTGCGTTATGGTGCATGCTAATAGTAATGGGGTGGTGTAAGTATAATGAGGCTTGTTGTCTGGTTGGATAGGTTAGCTCATCTGGTGTGAGGGGTATCGTATAGTGGTACAGTACAATACAGGGTAGCCCAACGTGCCACAATGTAGAGCAATGTGTTGCAATATAGTGCGTTGCAGAACATGCGGGCACAGTCAGGTCCGTGCAGCATTGGCGTCTCTGATTAGAGACAGAACCTTAATTTCATGTTGGTAGAGTGGTGATGTTGCAGGTAGTGGAGCCACTATGTGCAAGTGTTGATAATATTCCGGTGGGTATGTTATGACGTATACTAGCAGTAATGTAGCGTTATCGGGATGGTGAGGCTTGCTATCTGGTTGAATACTTCGGCTTATCGACCGTGAGGGGTATCGCCCAGAGATATGATACATTACAATACAGTACAACGTATTACAGTGCAGAGCAAAATTTATCCATACAGCGTGTTGCATTGCATGCGGGCACAGTCAGGTCTATGCCTCGTAGGCATTTCCAATCAGGAATGAAACCTTAGTATCACATTGGTGAGATAGAGTTGTTGCAAGCAGTGGTAGCATTCAGATCAAGGAGCAAAGCCAAAGCAGCGGATACGCTGTGCCATATATCTTGGTAATACAGCGTTATAGATGCTGTATGACTCATTGTTTGAGTAGGTAATGTGCGTATATGGCTTGGTATTTATCTCTGTCTGTGTTGGTACCGTTTAGTTCCCTGGTAGTCGTGTTGTCTAGTTTGAACGGTGTGTGTCAGCTATATTGTCGTATAATTCTACAGGCGTAGGATTTATTTAGTGTTGGATTGGTCTTCCCAAAGGTCCGTCCATGATGCCCAAGAGGCCAGAAAGGCCTGTTTTTGTGAGGCAGTGCTTGTGGACATGTATTCGTAAGTGTAGTATTGGTGTATTTTGGTGAGGAGTTGGGATTTGGAGGGGCATTGGGTGCATTTCCACTGGGTTGCGATGAGATTTCTCACTGCCAAGGCAGTGAGAGCCATTTTGCATTTGATATGTTTTGGGGTTAGTTTCGGGTATAGGAGGAACAGTCCCGTGTGTATGTTCAAGGGGGGTGTCTGGATGTCCATGGATTTTAGGACAGCTTGTGCCACCTTCCATATGGGCCTGATTCGTGGGCATCTCCACCATATGTGCATCATCGTGCCTGTCGCCTCATTGCATCTCCAGCAGAGGGGCGACACAGTGTTGTATATTGTGTGTAATTTTTGGGGTGTGAAGTACCACCTGTAGACCAGTTTTTTGTGGGCCTCAACGTGGGAGTAGCACCTCGTGAGACCTTTCAGAGCTTGGGGGGAGGCGAGTAGTTCTTCGTCAGTGAGCATCATTCCATCGTCTGCAAACCACTGGGTGACATAAGCAGGGACATGCGTTGGCGTCAGTTTTAAGAGTGTGTGGTAACATAGCGCAAGGGTTTTGTTTTTAGTTGGGGTTTGCCAGCATCTGTCGTATAGTAAATCTATTGCTTTGGAGTTTGGATTGTCAATTGTTGAAGTGCGTGCCACATGTGATGGAATTACGCTTCGGAGTTGCATGTAGGGGAAGACTGAGGAATTGGTTAACCGGAACTCCCTCTGTAGGTCTGGGAATGGCCTGATAGTGTCATTTTGTAAGATCTGGTCTAGTGAGGTGATGCCTACTTTTGCCCAGGTCCTCATCGAGAGCCAAGGTGATATCGCCTTCAAGGCTGTTAAAGGGGTGCGTGGGTGGAATTTGTGCGTGGGGTTCTGTTTGCGTCGTAGCTGGTCCCAATGATAAATGGTCAGCGATGTGGTCGGGAACAAGTTCCCAACCCTAGGGCGGAGCGGTTTGGGGGTCCATAAGAAGTCTTTTAGGGTTGTCGAGCCTGTTTGGGTGGTTTCCATATCCACCCATTGGAGTATGCCTGTGGGTGCGTGTAATTTTACCGCGGTTTCTAAGATCGCCGCTTTATAATAATTGTATAGATCTGGCAGTCCTACCCCCCCTTCCGCAGTGCATTGGTGTAGAAGACGGTGAGTCAGTCTGGGTTTGCGGGATTCCCATATGTATGAGGATAGGGTCCGTTGAAGTGTTTTGAAGAATGTGAGTGGTGCCCTTATCTGCAAGAGGCGGAATACATAAAGCAATTTCGGGAGCAGGGTCATTTTAATAGTATTTATTCTGCCTAACCATGACAGCCTTACAGGCTTCCATTGGAGGCAGGTCGACTTACAAAGAGGGAGCAGTGGTTTATAATTGTAGTGGAACATGTCATTCATTGTAGGTGCTATTTTGACCCCTAGGTAGGTGATATAGTCCTTTCTCCAGTCAAAGTTATATGTCTGGGTAAGGTCTTGGGTCTCAGAGCGTGGTAGCCCTATAGGCAAGGCTTGGGTCTTGGTTTGATTCATCTTGTAGTATGTTAGTGTGCCGTATGTGTCTAGTAATTGTATCAGCGTTGGCAGGGATGTTGGTACGTCGCTTAACGTCAGGAGGATGTCGTCCGCAAACATGGAAAGTTTGTATTCGGTGTTACCGATGGACATTCCTCGAATATTTGGATGATGTCTAATGATGTGTGCTAGGGGCTCTAAGGAGAGGACGAATAACAGGGGAGAAAGGGGGCAGCCTTGTCTGGTCCCATTAGTAATGTTGAATGGCGTAGAGATGAACCCGGCATTCGCTACCTGTGCCATGGGGTTGTTGTACAGAGCCGTTATGCCTGAGATGAGGTGAGGGGTAAAGCCGAACGATTGTAGGACGTGTCGCATGTAATCCCAATTGAGTCTGTCAAAGGCCTTCTCGGCATCTAGTGCCAAGAGAAGACCCTTAGTGTGGTGAGTGTGTGCATGTGCAAGAATATTTAAGATTTTCCTAGTATTGTCCGAGCCCTGTCTCGTTTTTACAAAGCCAGATTGGTCATTATGTGTTAGCTTGGGAAGGATTTCAGATAGTCTGTTCGCTATTAATTTGGCATAAAGTTTGGTGTCTGCATTGAGTAGGGAAATGGGCCGAAAATTAGGGCAGTGTGTGGGCGCTTTTCCCGGTTTCGGAAGTGTAGATATGTGGGCTTTCAGCATCTCGGGGGGCAGAGATCCCTCAGAGAAGCAGTGGTTGAACAGTGCAGTCATATGTGGGGAGAGGATTTGTGCAAAGGATTGATAATAGAGATTCGAGTATCCGTCTGGGCCCGGTGCTTTATGCTTGGGTAGTTGTGCGATAGTTTTTGCTAATTCTTGTGTGGTAAATGGTGCAGATAGGGCACTGATGTCTTCAGGAGTGAGTGTGGGTAGGTTCGCCTTGGCCAAAAAGGCCTGAAGCGCAGGTGGTTGGGGTGTGGTGGTCCCGGGGTCCTCTTTTAGATTGTATAGGGTGCTATAGTATGAGGCAAATGCCTCCACTATATCCTGTGGGTTGGTAAGTTTTTGCTTGGAGCTTGTGCATAAGTAAGCTATCTTGGAATTTGCCGCCCGTGTTTTGAGTTGCGTTGCCAAGAGTGCCCCTGCTTTGTTGCCGTGCATGAAAAAGTTATGTTTGTACCGTCTGAGCATAAAGGTCGTTCTTCGCAATTCTAAGTCTCGGAGTTTGGCTTGTAACGTTAGTATTCGGCGTTGTAAGGTTTGTGTTGGGGCCGCTTTGTTATCGTGGGTAAGTTTTGTTAATTCTGAGATGAGAGTGGTATATTCCTTAAGTCGTTCTTTTTTAGCGTAGCTACCTGCTCTAATGAGCTGGCCCCTGATGACTGCCTTATGTGCCTGCCATACAGTGGATATGTCCACGTCTGGAGTCATGTTTATTTGGAAATATGAGATTAGCTCCCCTTTTATTTGTTCGTTGACTTTGGGGTCTGTAAGGAGATAGTCATTCAACCTCCATGACCCCTTGCCCTTAGAGGGGAAATGTTCCTCGATAGAAATTGTGATCGGCGCATGGTCCGACCAAGTGATCAGGCCTATTTGGGCCGATAGGACTTTGTGCATTGCTGAGGTTGGAAGGAGAAATCTGTCTATTCTTGTATATGTGTTGTGTGCCGGGGAGTGGAAGGTATAGTCCCGTTCTAATGGGTGTAGGATTCGCCAGGGGTCTAGAAGGTTGTTTTGCAGTATTTGGGCACAGAGTGCTGACGTGGTTTTATTTTGTTTGCGAGTTGACGCAGAAGTAAGTTTGTGGGTTGAGGTTGTATCTAATGTGCAATCTAAAAGGAAATTGGTGTCTCCTCCCATGATGAGTTCCCCAAAGTGATATCTGTTGGTTAACGCAAGAATGTTGTCTAGGAAGTCTGTTTGGTTCGTGTGTGGGCCGTAGAGATTAAGGAGGGTGTAAGGTTCATTGTTAAGGTAGCATTGTAGTAAGAGGAACCTCCCATGTTTATCTCCCACTTTTTTAACTAATGAGAATGCCACTGCTTTGCTGATAAGTATAGAAACGCCTCTTTTCTTTTTTTTGTAACAGGAATGGTAATCGTGGGGGAATGTTGCGGAACAGAATTTAGGGCGGTTACCCCATTTAAAGTGGGTTTCTTGGAAGAATGCGATGTGGGATTTGAGTTTCTTCGCTTCGTCTAAGGCTAACCTCCTCTTGTGCGGAGAGTTCAGCCCCTTGGTGTTAAGAGACAATATCGTGAGTGTCATTTATGATGGTGAGGCCAGGTAGTTGTGCGTGGTGTGGAATGACCTTGTGTGAATGACACAGTCTGCCAGTTTGCGTCTGTCATCATATATCCCTGTGTTCTATGAGGGGCTGCCTTTGTAAGTGACCCTATAATCTGTTGTCTGGTTGTAACACTGAAGTCATATGCGCTCATCTTGTGAGTTGTACGTGGTAGTGCGAGAATTGTGCTGTTGGGTAGTTGGAAGATCGGGGGTGGGTAGCAGGTAAACTGGATACGGGGGAGTAACTGGGAGTATATACAAATATCCGTCTCGGCGAGAGCCTTGGGTTGCAGACGGGAATAACACGGCTCCCTTGAGCCCGGGGGGGTTGACAAATCTAGGAATGATCGACCCTCTGTGTCAGGGGAGATTCGGGTTTGCCCTTGGTCGTGGGTTGCCTCAAACCCTGTCGTTGTGGTGAGCAGCCTCTAAGGGTGGCTCACCTGTATTTACACAATGTCCTTTATAGTATTATTAATTTTATTTTATTTTTTATTTTTTTTTTTATTTTATTTTTTTACTTGTGGTGTGAGGCAACATATTCACCTGCCATATTTTGCTCAGTGGGGTCTGGACTACAGGGGCTCAAGCCCTGGCCTGGTCCCTCCTGTGAGCCTGTCGGCAGCCTCGCTGACGTCACCACGGTGACCGGAGCCCCGGCACCGCGGCCAGGCCCAGCAGGCGGGTGGGAGTGACATAAAGTGGGCCAAGATTAAATACAAGTAGTGAATAACCGGTTGTGAAACAATAAATATAAACTCAAAGGGTGTAACTGTGTAAAGTTCACAATGTTGAGGGAGTTGGGCTATCTTGCCCGGTATTAGAGAAATAGGTAACTGCTATGTAAATGTCACTTATCTGCAGCGACTGTATTCCAGTCATTCTGTAGTCTCTGCGGGGGTCTGCGTTGTTCTTTGTTCATCTCCTGAGTGTGTTGGTGCGGTAGAGCAATGCCCCATTCAGCCAGGGTCTTTTTGCCGTCGGCTTCATTAGTGATGTGCCGGTCTGTTCCATTCCTTCTCACAATCAGCCGAGCCGGGAAGCCCCATCTGTAGAGCACATTTGCTTCGCGTAAGGCTCTCGTTATCAGGGAGAATTCTTTCCTCTTCTGGAGAGTAGTTGCGGAGAGGTCGATGTATAGCTGGACTCCCTTGAATTTATCCGGTAGGGCTTGTGCACGTCTGGAAGCTCGCATGATCCTCTCTTTGGTTGTATAATAGTGCAATTTGGCTATTGCATCTCTAGGTGTTGATGCTGGCAGGGCCCTCGGTTTCGGCAGCCTGTGGATACGGTCAATGAGGAAGTCGGGCTGTGGGAGATCAGGGACCAAATGTTGAAAGAGGCTTGTGGCGTAGGCCTGAAGTTCTTGGGGGGGGACCTCCTCTGGGATACCGCGGAGGCGGATGTTACTGCGCCGGTCCCTATCCTCGT